TTGCGAGTATCTTTAATTTTATAGATACCACCCCGTCCCTTTAGATGGAGGGTAAATGGTTAAGGGTATCCCCCAGTCGGGCACTTCCGACTAGAGCTCTCCTACTTGTTGTTTTTCTTGTATCGATTAATTGCTTATATATTAACATTATCAACAAATTATAAGGGCTTTAAATATTGATCAGTCGTAAATATTGCATAATTTAATATTAACACTGTTTTGTTATGATTTTTTTTCTTTAGTCAAAAGATTTGCTTTTTACAATATTTAAGACTTTGCTCATGAGCTGAACTTTAATTTTTCTCACAACTAACAGCTCTTGAGATATTTTGCCTTAACATCACTTGATTTAGCACTTATCTAGAGAGTTTCTCTCTGAAAGAGTTTCTCTAAAGAGTTTCTTCCTGTTGGGGAACTGGTAAATAAAAGATTCAATTAAAACTTGAACTGATCTGTAATGTTTCTTAAGATCTCTTAAGATCTTTTGCCTAAACATCACCTAATTTTGCACTTATCTAAAGAGTTTCTCTCTCAACTCTACTGTTGGCGAAAAGTCAAATACAAGATTGAACCATAAATACTGTAGATGAACTCTTAAACAGCGCAGAAATGTTATTTTTTGTTGGCAATCTTATCTTTTAAGATAAGCAGATGCTCTTCTTCCTATAATTAGCAACTCCCTCATGTATATAATATCCATTTACATTTCAAGTGTGTTCGAGTTTAGTAATTGTTGATATAAGAGAATGCAAATTCAGGAGCTGATAAGCTGAAGATTAGTTAACAAAAATCCTCCCCCATAAATGTACGTGCATTCTTATCGCTGTTCTGTTAACATAATGTTAACATGCAACCGATAACAGTGCTCGAAATGGGGCACTCGGAAAACTCATGAATGGAAGCAGGTATCACAAATCAATTACCGCATTTGCCTTGGCTAAAGCAGTATTACGATATAATCTATACAAATATTCATGCTTGTTCTGTTCATTTTTGCATTTGCCGGCAGGTCGCAGGTTCGAACTCAATAGTTATTTTTATTTCGTTTTATTAAATTTGTTATCAACCAGAAAGCAAAAAGCGATAATGAAAACATGACAAAATGAGAGGCTATATGATAAATGATATGAGAAATGCATTTTATTCTTGGCATATTTAAGTACCGCAGGTCGCCGGCTCGAATGCAGACGAAATTTTTATTTGTTTTTGAATTTGTTGTTATTCATAATGGAAGCAGCACTTAAAAATTAAATAAAAACAATAAAATGAAAAATTAATTTAAATAAATAAATTTAAAAGAAACATTGAGGAAATGAAGTTTTAGTTTGAATACTTTGTGAAGCTTGGCAGGTCGCCGGTTCAAATGCAGCAGTAACTTTTTGTCTATTTAATTTGCCACAATTAAACAGAAAAAGCAATAAAAATAAACATTTTTCACCGGAAATTTCTTCTGGTAGTCAATAAAACTATTCACATTTGTTCGTCGCATATTTTCGTATATATTGAAGTACTTGAAGTACCCTTTACACAAAAGGCCATCGCACACACTGAGCACATTAATCACTTGAGATACCCTTTCATTTGTTCCACATACCAAACGGAGTTAGCCACGTTTGTGTCTGTGTAGTATTTAATATGGGCATAGCTCCCGCTTGGATTTCAATCCCGTTTATAGTTGACATTGTGTACACACCGAATTCGCACAGTTGCCGCTGAGTGCAAGTGCACGCACGGGTCGAATTGCGTTTTGGGAGTTGCTTGAGACTTACCTCAGACTCGACGGGCGGATCACCGCCCGCCTCCAGGACGAGCACACGCCAATTGGGATTCTCGCTGAGGCGACTGGCGACCACGGAGCCCGCCGAGCCGGCGCCAATGACCACAAAGTCGTAGGGTTCGTCGAAGCCATCGCTGCCGGCCACATCGCCGTAGTCCGGTGGCCAGAGCGTGGTCGGCGCCACATTGCACTGGGCCGCGAGCAGGGCCTGCAGCAGCAACTGGAACAGTCCGCTCCAGAGGCCGGTGCCGGGCGGCGTGCACTGCGGATCGCCGGGACTGAAGATGTGGCTCTGGTTCGTAGTTGTTGCCAGCATTTGGAATGCGTACGCTTTGAGGCGACGTCAGCGAATGCATTTTGCTTTTATAGATGCGATAGGCGGGCAGCTGACCGAATGGCAAACTATCTGACAGACTGACTGACTAACTGACTGACTGACGCATTTACGGACTGACTGACTGACTAGTTATTGTGGTGTGTGTGTGTCGCCTTAGCCAGCGAACAACAACTAGCTTTGCCTTTTGTTGACTTCACGTTTAGCACAAAAACAAAAAAACAACTAGAACAACAACAACAATTGTGACAACAACTATTTATAATCGCACGAGCTGCGCCATGTGTGCCAAGTCGCCTGCCCAGGAACTCAGCACGTGCGCAGCTACGATAACAGATTGACTGACTGATTGACTGATCGATTGACCGACTGATTGGCTGACCGATTGACTGATCGATTGACTGATTCACTAACTGATTGACTGACTGATTGATCGATTGATTGACTGTCTGATTAATTGACTAATTGATTTACTGGCTGATTGACTGACTGATTGACAGACTACTTAGCTGACTGTTTGACTGATTGATTGATTGACCGGTTGAATGCCTGATTGACTGATCGATTGGCCGACTGATTGTCTGATCGATAGACTGAATGACTGACCGCTTGACTAGTTCACTAACTGAATGACTGATTGATTGACGGACTAATAGATTACCTGATTGACTGATCGATTAACTGAATGATTGATTAATTGATTAACTGGCTGATCAACAGACTACTTAGCTGACCGATTGACTGAATGACTGACCAATTGACTTATTCACTAACTGATTGACTAATTGATTGATGGACTAATTGATTACCTGATTGACCGATCGATTGACTGAATGATTGACTGATTGATTAATTGATTAACTGATTGACTGATTAACTAACAGATTGAGCGATCGATTGACTGACTCATTGGCTAACCAAATGACTGACTGATTGCATGCAGTAAGCGTGCTTTATACAGCGTCTTTGGCATGGCATGCTCACAAATCACGTCAGCATTAATATGAGTAATTCGTTAAACGCAGAAAAATGCTGCCAGCTCAGAGGTAAATTGTAGAAAGCCTAACCAAAGCCTGTTCTCAGCTTTCAGTCTTTTAAAATAGTTCAAGGTTCGGCTATAAAGACATAGTTCAGGCGAATGTATCGCATATCTCGTCGTAGATGCCTTGGCCATGATCATGGCCTACGTATACAGGCTGTATATACATATGTCGAATTTGGGAGGTTTATGATGTATGACTATATAGGTTGTTATAGGAACGATTGGTGTAAAGTTAGGTTCTTGCATGGGGAACCTTTATGTTTGGTTAAGATATCTTACCCTAACTGGGCATTTACGAGTTCGAATATGCTATAAGCACTATATCTATTGGAAGAACTGATTAGAAGATGACTTGTTAAATGGAAAATTTCGCATTGTTTTTCAAGTTTTTCCTACAGTCACAACTGGTCGGCAATAACATTTTTTGCATCAAAGCATTTCTATGCCACTTATCTGGGAGATTATTTATTTATAGATGGGATTCGTCGTTCTTTCTTGTTAGCATTGTCTGGAATAATCTTGAATTTTCCATATTTACAAACTCTCTGAATCGTAATTCAAACAAGCTTTTAATTGCCTAGGCCAACAATGATCTTGTTGAACTAATCGCTTTATGGGAATAATAGAGGAATAACAAATACTATCGCATAGTACCTGAATTTTGGCATTCCATGGCAGTGCTTCAGGCATGTACTTACCACTAAATTGTTTTCTGCAAGCTTCGAGTCTGCCAGAACTGACCTGCTTAAGTCTGAGCCTATAGTTTATTGTTCTATATTCATATATTTTCCAATTAAAAAGTTCATAAATGCATATTAAGTACCAACATCTTATCAAGTACTTACTACACATTTTTAATCGTCCGTATTATGATTGTGTTGTGCTGCTGCTGTTTGCCAGGTGTAACCCAGACCCAGACAATGTCGTTCAAGGACAGCAACGGCGACAACAACAACAACAACACAAACAACAACAACAACAGCAGCAGAAAAAATGACATTAAAAATTGCCAGTTTTTTGCTGACCGATTTAAGTTTTTGTCTTATAATTGCCATAAAAGGCGCCTTTTTTACAAGCACCACAATAGAACCGCATTTTTAAGCAACATGTCAACGCAACAGGCAACGCGATTGACATAAAGTAAATTTTGAAATAATGCCCAGCCTATGGATACCCTGTAGAGAGTTGTAGAACGGGAAAGGTGAGAACTGGGCTGGCAATATAATGTATTATACGTTCTCTTAAGCTATGTGATCTTCTTCCTTCCCTAGCCTAGAACCATGAGAAATGCAGTCCTAATTATATAACTTGGCTGCTTACTGTCCGATCTTTATGCAATTCTCAGAGCCCCACTATGGCACCCAAATGTGCGTCAATACCAAAGCTCAAGGCTCTATCTTAACAAATGAGTATTTAACAATTTAGCGGGTAATGGGAACAGTTATCCAAAAAGTAATTTTTTTAAGTTCGTATATACCATACGTACACCCACTTGCCAAATTTGGGGCAGCTAGCTTCTATAGTCCTCGAGTTATGCCTAAGAAACCATGTCTCAAAATCGATAATTATCGATATTATGAGAACGCCTTTAAATGCTGCCAGAGCCTCAAATATACATAGGTGGCAACCCTTGCAAATGCTCGTGATAATGCTTTATACTTGGCACTTATAAGGATTAGGTGTCTATTTATCCATATATGATCTTATAGATGCTCTATAGTTGGCAATTTTTCCGTTTATGATTATTATTGACGCACTTGACATTTACTGCTGTCTATGCACAATGTTTTATTGTATCCTTTGCAGCCTCTAACTGATTGGGCATTCAAAAAAAATGTATGTTTAACAAAAAAAAAAATAAAGGGACATTAGGTTAATTTAAACACAAGTTGAGTATTTGATAGTGCAGCTGGCGCCATCTGTCGGCCGGCGGCGGCGTCTCACAGTCCGCTGTTCATGGCGATGCGCACGAATTGAGCGGGCGCCGGCGGCTCAGCATTGGCGGCAGCCGCAATCCAATTGCTCACGGGCAACAGATTGAGGCCAGCGCTGAGATCTGCAACGAAATCATCACCAAAAATAACTGAGAAGTTTAGCTGGGACAGCAGATCCCTTCCAGGCAGCCCGACAGCGCTCGCAGGCAGGGTAACTCACCCGAAGGATCGTTGAGAGCTGGCGCTGTTGCTGCTCCTGTTGTTGCGCCTGCTGCTGTTGCTATTGTCTCCGATTGCACCGCCTCCAGCAGCAACTGTTGCTGCGGCCGTGCTTCAACTGCGGGCAACAGTTGCAGCAACACAAACAGCAGCAGCAGCAGCAACTGCAGCTGCAATTGTCGGCGAGGTTCGATCTTGTGCTGTTGCTGGAGCTGCTTGGGTCGCGTCATTTTGTCAGCAGTCGATGTCGGGTACTGGCCCGTATGAAAATCTCGGAAACCTTTTTGAAAACTTCAGCACAGCCGACCACTGTAACTGTGTGCCTGTGTCTGTGTCTGTGTGTGTGTGTGTGTGCGTGTGCGTGGAGTGCACAGGCGGTCGGCAAACTGGTAAAACTTGTCGCGTTTGCCATTTGGTTCAGCGGCCGCTCAGAAAACACGCCAAAACGGCAACTGCGACAACAAAAGCAACAGCAACAGCAGCAACAACAACAGCAACAACATGCAGCAAATTGCAGGCGCCTGCTGTCAATGTCGCCAGAATGTGCTGGGAAATGTTTTAGCTTGACTCCAGCAACAACAACACCAACACCAACAGCAACAACAACAACAACAGCAGCAGCAGAAAAAATACCAGCAACAACAACAACAGCAGCAGCAACAGCAGCAGCAACAACAACAGCAGCAACAACAACAGCAGCAACAACAACAGCAGCAGCAACAACGACAGCAGCAGCAACAACAACAACAGCAGCAACAACTACAGCAGCAGCAGCAACAGCAGCAGTAGCAACAGCAACAACAACAACTACAGAGGCAGCAGTAGAAAAAATACCAGCAACAACAACAACAGCAGCAGCAGCAACAACCACGGCAGCAACAATTGCAACTGCAGCAGCAACTGTTGCTCTGGCTGACATTTCGAACACAATTAGGCGCAAATGCGCTGATCGATCTTTCATTTTGATCTCACCCGCCCCGCGCCCCGCTTTACACGCCCGCGATTACAGTTAACCTACAAAAATTACCTACAACAAATTAGATGAATAAAAAAAAAACTATGATCCAATCTGGTTTCCCATTCACATAACTCAATTTAATCTGAACCATTTATTTTCCTTCAATTTTTTGTACAATCATCTAGTTGAGAATTGTAAAAATGCTTCATAATTACGAATGAATGAATAATTTATTTATTTAATTCTCTTTCATATAATTGCATATTGTCATGCAACAAAGTACACACATATAATTTATATTTTGCACACATTATACTCTGTCTTCCGTCATCTTCTCGCTTGTTCGAACCCTCAACTTCGAGCTCTGTGTGGTCAGAGCACAAAATGAAAGTGAATAATATCAAAACAAATAAACAAATTCAAATTTTAATAATTTGCTGGATTTGAACCAGCGACTTCTCGCTTCTTAGTTCAATGCTATTTTTTTTTAATTTCTGTTTGCATTACGTTTGCATTACGTTTTCCATAATTTGGGGTAAATATACTTTTGGATCTGCTTGGTCTTTTAGACTTGTAGCATTTAGCTTTTGTCCGTTAACCAGCTTATGCACTGCCTTTGGAACGTCGCTTTCAGTAGCTTCTGCACGTGCACATTTGCAGCTGGGCTGTTTTAGATTTGGCAATTGTGAGAGGCCAAGCAATTGGCTCATGAATGGGACAAGGCTGCCAATTCTTAAGCCCGCCAGAGGTCAACTCAGCATTGACCCCTGCCATTCGGCACGAGTATACGAGTACAGTTATTGTTAGCCCGCTTTTTGGCCCAGCTAAAACACAGCTTTCGACCTTCGCTTGGCCAAAATTGAGCTTGGATTGGATTTTTAACAATTTATTTGGCCACGAAAACTTTGACGCTTAGAAGGAGACGTCTTCGAGCCCATAAAGTGTGTATATAATATATATATATATATATTCTTGATCAGTTTTAGTCGAGTCGATGAATGTTGTCAACGGACGGAACGGACTACTATATAATATAGCTGGCTTATGAAGAGTCGGTCGACAATAAAGTTCTTCTTTGAAAAACTTTGTTCTCCTTCAAAATATTCCGATCACACTTGGCATATGCAAGGCTTCAAATGCTCTTTTTATATATGAAAAAAATCTTATTAAGATTTGCTTAGTAGAATCTGAAAAATATGAGTTTTTGTATAAAATACTTTTATTTTCATCAAGATATTTCGACCTAACTTGGCATATACGAATTTTCTCTTTTTAAATGGGAATCATTTTATTTAGATCATTTTACTTTATCATATATGTAGCTGCCATTGGAAGAGTCGGTCGATAATGAAGTTCTTTTATGAAACACTTATTTTCTTTTTAAAATATTCCGATTAAGCTCGGCATAGACGAGTCTTACAATGTTCTTCATATATGAGCGGAATCTTATTAAGACCGTTTTACTACATCAGATAGTCAGTTGGAATAGTGGGAAGACTCTGCCAAAACAAATGAGTTTTTTTCTTCTTCAACATCTTATTAAGATCGGTTTATTATATCATTTAGTTGCCATGGAAAGACTCTGCGTAAAATGTTTTTATTTTTGTACAAAATACTTTTTCTCCTTCATGATATTCCCACCAAACATAGCATATACAAGTCTCCGAATGCTCCTTATATATGATAACAATCTTATTAGGATCCTCTTACTATATCACATAGTTAGAATAGTATGAAAACTCTGTCGAAGAATAAGTGTTTGTGTTTCGAGAAATCTTGAATCAAAAGCAGCCAAACGGACTATTATATCATATGGCACTTTCAAGCCACAAGCCCTAAAGAGTATTCAGTCGTCGGCATGCCGTACTTTTTGGTTCATTTATACATTTATTTATAGATGCTTAAGCTAAGAAATACGAGCTACAGCTTGGATTCGGTTCATAGCCAAGATCAGGAAGCGAGAGGTGTGCGGGATGGGGGGCCAACCTAGAGCCAACCTAGAGCCAACCGCCGTGCGGATAATGATGCCAATCCTCCTTGATAATGTCCGCGCCGCGCTCGGCTATCATCAGGGTGGGCGCATTCGTGTTGCCGGTGGGAATGGTGGGCATGATGCTGGCATCGATGACCCGCAGATTGCGCAGCCCGCGAACGCGCAGACGCGGATCGACAACGCCGTACGGATCCTGGAGGGGCGCCATTTTGCAGGTGCCGACCGGATGGTAAATGGTCTGCGAATAATATCTGGCCAGGCACTCCCAGAAGGCATCGCTGAGGTACTCCACCTCGGGACAGTTGCGCCACTCGTAAATGTTGAGCGTGGCGTTCAGCCGCTGCATGGCCGGCGTCTGGGCGAGTTGATGGGCCAGCTTGAGGCCCTCGACCATGACGGCCATGTCGAGCGGATCATCATAGTAGTTGGCATGGATCAGCGGATGGACGCGCGCATCTGGCGAGCGCAGCTGCAGATAGCCGCGCGAACGCGGACGCATCAGCAGCGGTGCGATCACAAACGAATCCTGATACTGTATGGGCTCGAAGGAGTCGGCATAGTTGGCCAGCGTGATGGCGGCGCCGCGTCGCCCGATCATGCCGCCGTCGGCGCCGTAGCCATAGCTGCCCATGAAGAGCTGGACATCGGGCCAGTCTGCATTCGGCATCGATGCCAACTGATATCGTGTGCTGGCAAAGCCCATCACCTCGCTGACGGGCATGGCATAGAAGAAGCCGTTCTGGTCGTGAACAAACGCCTCCACCGACTCCTGGGTCAGCATTTCGGGCACTATGAAGGACATGTGCGTGCCCGGCTGCAGGCTGTCAAAGGTGTAAATGGCGCCCGAGGTGGAGATGTGATCCTGCAGATTCCCGCCGACGCCGGGCAGATGCTGCACCAGTTCGATGCCCAGCGGCAGCAGCTGGTCGGCGGGCCCAACGCCGCTCACCATCAACAGCTGGGGACTGGCCAAGGCGCCGGCGGCGAGCACCACCTCCTTGTTGGCCAGCGCCAGATGCTGGACGAGGCCGTGCTCGAAGCGAACACCGCGCACGCGTTTGCTGCCCGGCTCGATGTCCAGGCGCTTCACGAAGGCCTTGAGCACAATATCCAGATTGGGTCGCTGCCAGCTGCGACGTATATAGCCCTTGTTGGCGCTGCATCTGAGGCCATCCCTCAGCGTGCCGTGGGGCGGGGCGAAGCCTGTCTGTGTGCGTCCATTGAAGTCGCCATCGGGATGGGCCATGCCCAGCTGGCTGGCCGCCTCCATGAAGACATCGAGCAGCGGCGATGGGGATCTATAGCGTTCCACGCTAATGGGTCCGCCATGGCCATGATAGGGGCTCTCCTCGTAGCCGGGCACACGCATGTCCTCGGCCTTGCGAAAATAATGCAGCACATTGTTATAGTCCCAGCCGGAATTTCCAAGCTGGGCCCAATGATCGTAGTCGCGCCGATTGCCGCGTATATACATCATCGCATTGATGGAGCTGCAGCCGCCCAGCACCTTGCCCCTGGGCCAGAAGCACTGCTGATCCTCCATGGCCAGGCAGTAGCGATCGGAGGGCTCTGTCAGATACTTCCAGTCCCAGGGACTGCGCTGGAATACCGGATACAATTGCGGCAGATCCATCAGGAGCGGCTCGTCGCCGCCCGCCTCCAGCAGGAGCACACTCCACGCCGGATTCTCGGAGAGGCGCGCCGCCAGCGCACAGCCCGCCGAGCCGCCGCCGACAATGATGAAATCATAGCTCGGACGCAGCTGCTCAATGTATATGGTGCGTACGCGCTGCTGCTCGTCGACAATATCCGGACGATGATCCTTGATGCCCTTGTTCAGCATCAGGATGACCAGCGCCGAGGGGCCCAGCGTCAGCAGAAACCGCCACACGGTCACAAACGTGTTCACCGCCGTCATCTTCGATCCGCGCCGATTCGAGTCGTGTCGAGTCTGGACTGAATCGAGTCGGCGCGTGCAACTTCGCAATTCCCCAAAACGCTGACCCCGCCAAAACGGGTGCAATGACCATTCGCCACATTCTCTCTCTCTCTCTCTCTCTCTCTCTCTCTCTCTCTTTCTCCGGCATTTCGTAATAGTACTTTGCCTACCCCACCCACCACTCAGCTAGAATTGGGCCGTTTGCTTTGTCGAATACCCTGTAAACTCACAACTCGGTCACATAATATCTACAGTTTATATATACATATATATATAACTAACTGACTGATTGACTGACTGACTGAATGATCATCAAATCATATTCCACCCGCAACTGTGGAATATGGGCGAAAAGCGAAACAACTTGCATCCGATCGGTCGTTAACTGATTTTTAAACATCTTCGCAAATATTCATTTCCACGCCTTCCGGGGGAAAAGTGTGAAGCATTGTCTGAGCGAAAGTTTAGCTTTCAGCTTCGAACTCATTTAAAATAGCGAAATACTATGATTAGAACTGTATGTTTTCACATTTGAAAGATTTGCAAATATTTGTGCTAATTGTCATTTGCGACGTAGAGCTGAAGATGTATTTTAACATGCCATGTGCGAAAAATGGGTGGAAATCGAATGTATAGAAATCGTTTTTATAGCATTTTATTAACAATTTGTTGAATTTAAAAGGGAAAAACATTTGCATTATATGTATTTAATGATGGGGTGAAGTTTACCTTGCGACGAATTTGGAAAGGGAGGTCCAAGGCAAACCTTCTCCACAAGCGTCACACTATGAGGCTGTTGCCTAAAAGTTCTAAGGGCCATTAAATGAGGGCTATTAAGTCAAGCTTGCCATATGGAATATTTATTTATGTCCATGTTTTGAAGTAATATAAAACATCTTGGCCTGGCAACGCCGGGTAATACACGCTAGTATGATTAGACTGCGGGACATTCGATTGCAACGCTAAACGCAAACAAGACGAACAAATCAAAAGACACAACCGAAAACTGCACAAGCAGACAATAAAAAACATGAGAAAAAGTGCTGAGACTAGCAGATACCCTGTGTCCAATTTCAACCCATACTTTGGCACTTATCTGCATCGTTTATACGATGTTAAATGGAATTAAATAAATCAAATAAATAAATTAAAATTTTATTTATATAGAATTTGTGATGACTGGGCATACCCCTTAGAACGCAATTCGTGTGGACAGGGTATGCTGTAGGAAACGTCGCTGCTGCAGCTAACAGAGTCTGTCAACGCTGCGCTGTTCAGCATTTAACAGCTCATGTTAATTAACAGCGAAAGCCTACGCTCTCTCTCTCTCTCGCTCTCTCTCTCTCTCTTTTATTCAGTGAGTTCATTGTGCATTGCGCTTGACTGAGGAGTGCGGCGGGGGGCTGCATCCACAGCTGTTACTTGGGCGGCATTAAGTACTTAATTACAGCTCAGTGCAAACAAACGGAAACCGAAAACAGGCGAAACGCACATACAGATAACGACCGAGCGAAGATAACGGCACGTTGCACTTGCAATACTCTTTCCGACAAACAGATGCGCTTTTAAAGCTGAGCTTTAAATCCGATCGATTGTTTGTTTTTTTTTTTGGAAATTATACGATGTTCGAACTGTAAAGCTTGTAGTTGCAGAGTTTAAAGAAGATTCGTCGAAAGACATATCCATTCCATATAAGATATAATAGTTCGATTTCGATATGTGAAGCTAATGAAAGCCAAGTTTGGTTAAAGTATCTTGTTAAAAACAAAAAAGTTGTTCGTGTAAAGACTTAATTCGTGTAAAGATCGTTCCGTTGTGGCCGATATCGACATATATCATGGAAATCAATTTAAAAACAGATTAAAAGTTCTCTTACAAATGGACAAACTGTATTTGCTGATCTAAAATATATATTATAAATTTATTTATCTACATTTATTTTTCATATACTTTATCTTTAATATATTTTTGTCTGATTTTATGTGAAACTTTTTTGTGTTTTTTAAATATTTTCGAAACATATATATACTCTACACACAAACATATAAATACTTCAAGTATCGGGGCGTTACACACTTGGTGAGAAATTTGTGCTGCCCGCTGCAAGGGTATACGGATATTGTATTTATTGGGCTCACATTTGATGGGCACACGGCGCACAGCCTTGGCCCGGCCGCGCACAGTTCATAATGAGACACACGCGTCGACAAGCTGCAGCCAAATTGGCAGCACTTTTTTGGCTGCTGCTGGCAGTAGCTGGCGGCGAGACATTGGGCATTGGGAGCTCCAGCGATTGGCCGCGCCGCCGCGAGCCGCCGCCGCCGAGCGGCGCAAGCTTCGACTATATTGTGGTTGGGGCGGGCAGCGCGGGCGCCATTGTGGCCAGACGTTTGGCGGAGCAGCCGAACGTAACCGTGCTGCTGCTGGAGGCGGGCGAGGAACCGCCGCTGGAATCGGAGTACTATGCGCTGAGCGGACGGCTGCATCACGACGCGCGCTACATGTGGCTGGACGAGGCGGCGCCGAGTCCGCGCTGCTGCCAGGCGATGCAGCCGCCGCACGGCTGCAGCTGGTGGCACGGACGCATGCTCGGCGGCAGCGGCGCCATCAATGGCAACATCTATGTGCCCGGCAGTGCTGCCAATTTCCACGACTGGCGCTGGCGTCTCGGCCTCAATGGCTGGGACTGGCCGCAGGTGCAGCGCGCCTACCGCCAGCTGCAGCAGCGCCTGCAGCCCAGCCTGTTTCCGCTGGCGCCCGCCATGCGGCCGCTCGCCGAGCTCATCTATGCCGCCAGCGCGGAGCTGGGCGTGCCCCCACTGCAGAAGCCCCTGCTTGCGGGCAGCAGCATCGGCTACACGCATCTGGTGCCCGCCACCATTCACCTGGCTCGACGCGCCAGCAGCGCTCGCCAGTATCTCTCCTCGGCCCAAGGGGCGTGGCCGGACGATAACTTGCAGCTGGTGCGCGGCGCGGAGGCGCAGCGTCTGCTGCTCAGCGCCGGCGGGCGACGGGCGCGCGGCATCACCTATTATCACGTGGCGAGCAATCGTACGCTGTGGGCGTGGTCGCGCCGGGAGCTGGTGCTGAGCGCGGGCGCGCTCAACTCGCCCAAGCTGCTGCTGCTGTCCGGCATCGGGCCCGGGCCGCAGCTGCGCAGGCTGGGCGTCAAGCCGCGCCTGCAGCTGGCGGGCGTGGGCCGCAATCTGCACGATCACGGCATGCTGCCGCTCTACCTGCGCTTCACGCGCACCTGTGCCTTCAACAGCAGCGACGCTAGCGTCGGCAGCGATGGCAGCGATGCCAGCTTCGCCATGATGGGCTTCATCAACTCGAGCGCGCCGGCCTGCGGCATGTCGCAGCCGGATGTGCATGTGGCGGCGCACACGCTGCTGCCGCGCGGCAGCGCTGGCAGCTTTGGCTACTTGGGCTTCCGGACGTCGCTGATCGCGGCGCAGCGTGCGGCACTGCAGCAGACGGCAATGCTGCAGATTATGGGCTCGCTGCTGCTGCCGAGGTCGCGCGGTCGCGTCGAGCTGGGCAGCGCGGAGCCGCGGCAGCCGCCGCTGGTGCGGCATTGTTATGCGCGGCATGCCGCGGACCGTGCCACCTTGCTGCGCTATGTGCGCTACGTGCAGCGCCTGGCGGCGACGCGCGCCTTTCGCGGCTGCGGCCTGCGGCTGTGGCTGCCGCCGCTGCCCGAATGCGACGCCCTGCCGCCGGACTCGGACGACTATTGGCTGTGCCACATGCGCTACATGTTTGTGGGCGCGTGGCATGCAGTCGGCAGCTGCCGCATGGCCGCCGCCGGCGACCCGCGCGGCGTCGTCGATGAGCGGCTGCGCGTGCGCGGCATCCGCGGGTTGCGCGTCGTCGATGCCAGCGTCATCCCGGAAATAACGGCGGGCAATACGAATGCGCCCACCATGATGATTGCCGAGCAGGCGGCGCGCATGATACGCGAGGATCAGCTGCAGCTGGAGCCAGTGCAGCAGCCGGACGAAGCGGAGATTCCACAGTCAAATGAGGCAGTGCAGCAATCGGCTCCAATCAATCCAACCAATCAAATACCTGGCAGCCAATAGAACCAAAGACCCAAAGCGGGTACGAGATCTGATAGGCCAAAATATACCCTCACTTAGTTGAATAAATTAAAATATATAGTATATTATCGGATTGTGCCCATATACAACAGAGCAATAATATCCGAATATATCCCGACTTAATAAAATAAATGTATATATATTGCTATATATATATAAGATATATGCTGATAATATCCATATCTAACAGATATCACTCGTATCTAGCCTTTTTTATGTTATAACAACCGCTATCAAAATAAGTACAATATAAAGTTGTTAATAATCTTAGTGTTAAGATCTTAAGGTCCAAAAATATGAATAATACCTATTTCGAAGAGCTTATAATATATAACTATTCGTCAAAATATTAAATATACATTTATATATGTATATATCAGAATATGTCCTGCATTATATATAAATGTATATACATATATATATATATATTTTGATCAAAATATATATATAAATCAACCCTCTTTTGAAATGTTATGGGCATTCGCACTTATCTGTCATATAGAAGGTTGCTGGTTCGAATCCTCTTCAAGTCGATAGACGTAGAGATATATTTGAACTAAGCCCAATGTCTTTTGAGTGTTATGTTCATATTTTTATAACTATACAAATATATATATATATATATATATATATATATATGTATATATACAAAAACTATATGATATTGTGGTGCGATGCGGTCGTAACTATTATGGATAGGCTTAAGCAGAACAGACTGATACGGATAAAAGCAGATATATAAGCTATATCGACTCGGCTGTTGATTCAGATCAGGTATATATATATATATATATATATATATATATATATGGCATATACTTCAGCCGTTACATTTGTGTAAGCTGTGAGTCATGTTTTCCATTGTAGCCAACTGAGAACTCATCCGAATTGGATTGTTCTACGCATTTCAAACCTCAGATTCAGTGAAATTCTCATTTTAATGGACACTGGTTCGATGTTTCATTCAGTTACAATAAATACATACAATTTGCTTATAAATAACAAAAAAAAAAACTATTAATAAAGAACTTGCATTAAGTCTAAGGAGCACAAAAAAAATAAATAAACAATATAAATACACGGACTCGCACACAGATACACACTCGCACACACACACACACACACTCACACAGAGACGCGCACGGGTAGAGTTTTGCTTATCAGACTATTGTATTCTTGATCCAGAACTCCTTGATCATATCGCTGCCCTTCTCGGCGATCATGATCACCGGCGCATTCGTATTGGCCGAGACCAGCTTGGGCATGATGCTGGCATCGATGACGCGCAGTCCACGAATGCCGTAGACCCGGAGCTTGGCATCGACGACCGCATCCTTGTCCCAATAGGGACCCATTTTGCAGGTGCCGACGGGATGATATATGGTCGATGTATATCGCCGGACCATGCACTCCCAGTAGCTGTCCGTGAACGGAGGCAGCTGCTCGCAGCCCGGCCAGCGTATACTCGAGAGCCGTGAGCCGAAGCGCTGCATGGCCTTGGTGCGGGACAGTGCGACGGCAACCTTGACGCCCTCGATGAGGGTCTTCAGGTCGAAGTCATCGGCCAGATAGTTGGGAAAGATGTAGGGATAGTCGAAGGGATTGCTGCTGCGCAGCTTGATGCTGCCGGTGCTGCGTGGACGCAACAGCATTGGTATTATGCTCCAGGCATCCCGATTGTTAATCGGCTCGAAAACGGACCGATAGAAGGCGTCCGTTAGGCCGTGCGCCTTGCGCAGCTGCGAACCGCCATCGGAATTGGTCGATCCGGACACAAAATGGAACTCTATGTCCGGCCAGTCCAGCGAGCTGTTCGCATACTTGGTATTCACATAGGCGAGACCCTCGACGCCGCCGAGAATGGTGAGCGGACCCTGGCCGAATACCGCATACTGCAGCACCGTGGACATGGTGTGAAATCGATTCTCCACTATGGAAACCGGCTGATTCACCAGAAATGTGAGCCCGCCCAGACCGATGTGATCCTGCAGATTCTCGCCCACGCTCAGCTCCTTGATGAGTGGTATGCGATGCTTGGCCAGCTGCTTGCGTGGACCCACGCCGCTCAGCATCAAGAGCTGTGGACTGTTCACCGAGCCGCCGGAGAGGACGACCTCCTTGGTGGCACGCACATGGTAGAGCTTCTGGTCCTTGACAAACTCGACGCCGAATGCCAGCTTGCTAACCGGATCGATCATAATGCGCGTCACATGCGAGTTCATCGAGATGTGCAGATTGGGACGCAGTCGGGCCGGACGGAGGAACGCCTTGGAGGTGGAGCAGCGGGAGCCACGCCTTGTGGTACCCTGGGCAATCATAAAGCCCGTCATTTTCTCGCCATTCAAATCGCGATTGTCGTAGCCCATCTCAACGCCCGCCTCCACAAAGCTGGCCGCCAGTGGCGTGTGGTAGGGTGCCTCGCCCACCGTCAAATAGCCGCCCGTGGCATGGTAGGGCGTGCTGGCCAGGTACGGATTGGTATTATCCTCCGACTTCTTGAAGTAGTACAGGGCATCGCGATACGACCAGCTGGGATTGCCCAGCGCCTCCCAGTTGTCATAGTCGTGCTTGGATCCGCGCAGGTAAAGCATGTAGTTCAGCACGGAGCTGCCACCCAAAACCTTGCCTCTGGGCCAGTTGCAGCGTCCGCCTTGCATAGCTGTAAGAAGCAGATCGTTAGATGTGTAAGAAAATGATAAAGATGGAAGCTCGTTGGATGGAAATTCCCTGGGGGGGGAAATACCTTGGGAGCTATTTTTAAAGTAGGCTCTTTGGGGAATACCTCCTTTGAGAGGAACTTCATAAGTAACTAAACTTAAGAAAGAAATCCTTTTAGCAGACTCCTACCATGAAATGCTAAAAGAAATCATTTTACAAAGGATGCCTTTAAAGAGAGTCTTCTTTTTGAGGGATACCCTGAGGGCGAAGCTCTTTAGAAGGGATTTCCTTAAGGAACAAGTTTAAAATTGAAATCCTTGCAATAATTTCTTAGCAGTGAATGCAAAGAGAAAACATTTCTGGAAGATTGCTCTTTGAAAGAAAGTCTTTCTTAGAAAGGAATCAAGAAAAAATATTTAAGACAACATGATTCGATTGCTAAACGGGAACCTTCGTACCTTCGTTTTGAGGCATACTTCTTAAAGTGAGCATTTCAGAGAGAAATTCCCCTGACAAAATAGCTAAAGAAAGGGGGAAAAACATTGAAGATGAATTGCTTAAAGAAAATATCTTTAAGAAGGGAATTCGTGGAGCGATTCCTTTGCAAGCAAATCCTGCTTGGAGGCACTTACTTGGAAGAAAATCTTTTAGGAATACCCTTTTGGAAAGAAACCTTGTAGAGAAAGAGTTGCCAGTGGAAATTATTCAGTAAGAAAACCTTAAAGGCATTCCTTTTAGAAGGGAATTCGAAAAGGTTACACCTTGGAAGGAGAGCTAAGAGGACAATTCTTAAGAAATGAAAATTCCATAGTAGCAAAGCGCCTTGGAGGAATTTAGGAGATAAGCCAATAAGAGAACTCTTCCGTAGAAGGTTAGGTTTATGATGCTTACCCAAACACGATTTGCCCGACGGTTCCGTCTTGTACTGCCAATCAATCTTGGAGAGCTGCAAATAGCCGGCCATCAGGGGCACATCGGTCAGTTCGGTCTCATCGCCGCCCGCTTCGAGGAGAAGCACATTCCAATTCTCCACCTCGGTCAAGCGATTGGCTACCACAGCGCCGGCTGAGCCGGCGCCTATCACTATGAAATCATAGTGATCCAGTATGTCATCGCTGCTCACATCGCTGGGCTTCGACTCGGGATCCATGATCTCCTCGTACTGGAAATAGGCCACCGCTGCCATAAGCATGGGTATGAACCAACTGTTGCTGGTTGCCGCCGTCACCGCGCCGCCGATCGCCGAGGCAGCGCCCACAATAGCCGAGCTCATGGCTGGAAGCCTTCCTCCGATTGTGCTGTGTCCAAGTCAAGCGATGGCGATCTTCCAACAAGCGACGTGTCTGCAAAACTAACAGAAACAACTCAGTGAATATGTCATGAAAAGTCACGTTTGTAATGTATGTAATCGGGTTAGGCGATTCGCTTGCTTTGGGAACGCAGCTTTTCACGCGCCTCAACATTTCGATCACGAACTTGCCGCATTTCGGCGATTTCGTAACCTGATCGCGGCTGCCATTTGTCATGCATACCCTATCCATTTGCCCAACAGGGCATTACAACACGCCCGACTCGCTTATCAGAGCCAAACGATCCGAATGGAGTTTCAAATTTAGCTAGCCCTCAACTTAACCTCAATGAACTGGTTCTAAAGTTCTATCGATTCTGCGAAAGCTGAGGCCTTGAGCTTGAGAGCTAAACAGTCCACAGACGGTCTCTGCAAAGCTTTTACCTCATCATTTAGCTAGATAGGAGGGATAGGAATGGAATTCTGGCAGGTGAGTGCATCGCCGAGTATCGCCCTTTTATCGCTTTTGCATCTTCCAGCGATATTCATTCGTTTAGTTTGTCGCATATTCTAGAGAAAGTGAATCCCTTAAGAGTGCCACCAGGAAATAGGCAATGCATTCGCAGAGACATTACGCAACAGTGTCGCCTGGGAGATACTTTAGCGACACGATAGAGATAACATTGGAAAGCAAAGAGCGTGATCTGGCAGCTAGGAAGAGATGTCGCCTGGAAGATACATTTACATTACGAAACGAAAAGAAAAGTGTTTGAAAGATAGGAATAGGTATCACCTGGAAGATACATTTACGATTTATAAAATAGAGAGAAATAGAGTCTGAGAGAAAGGAATGGGTGTCGCATGGGAGATACATTAACGATACATCAGAAAGAGATTCCATTTAGAAACGAAAGGCGACGTTTCTGAAAAATAGGAATATGCATCGCCTGGAAGATACATTTGCGATGCAATAAATAGAGCTCACATTGTGAAACGAAAAGCGAAGTATCCGAAAACTAGGAGGAGGGCTCGCCTTTAAGATGCATTAACGATACATAATATAGGAAGAAGTGTCGCCTGGGAGATACATTTACGACAGGAATAACTACTTCCTAGTTAATTTGTTTTTCTTTTAAAGAGCTGTCAAAATGCCGAAAGTAATATATTAGTTTTTTGTAAATTTCCCAGCGATGAATATGGAAAACATTTCAAAT